CTCAAATAGCTCCTGCTTTTTATTTCAAGATAGAGATAATAGATTCTAAGAAGGTACACATTGCACACGGGAGCAAACAAACATACTTATTAATCCCCAAGAAAGTCAGGCCAAGCTGAGACACAAACTCTGACCTTTCTCACTTATGCGGGGCTGAACTTGACCAGGAAACTTGAATGTTCCCTTGGAAATATCAAATACCAACATTCAGTTCTTTCTGGGCCCATTTCTCAAGAAAGATAGGGCTGGTAGATTTATGCTAGTCATATGCTTATGCTTAAAAAAATCACATCCTGTAGATTCTAACAGAGGTTCTCAGATGAGTCTTTCACACAAACTATTCCTTTTAATCACATGGGAAGAGAATTTGGCTTAAGGGCGCTGTTTTTCCAGGAATGCCCTAATAATTGTTAGGCTATGAACATCACAAAGTGAGTCTTGGGCTGAAGTTAGTGCTGAGACAAGCTTTGGAAATTATCTGGCCACAGCAATTTTATACATTTGCCTTGTTTCACATAACAAGGAGCTGTTACATAGCAAGGAGGTCAGGTCACATAGCCACGCAATGGCCGACAAGGACCCCCAAACCTGCAGCTCAAGACTCCCTGACGAGTGTCCTTTGCACCTGCCACAGATTTTGTTTTTAGCAACTGTGCATTTTAATTGGACCATGCTTCCACCAAGCAAATCTTGGTCATGTTTCCTGACTGCCTTAATGAGCAGCCCATAGAATGGTGACACCTCCAGCCAACGCTCATCCTGGCCCAGTGTCCTCTCCTCTGGCCAACTCTCTCTTGGACTTGGGAGACAGAGCAAGGCCAGAGGCAGAGAAGGTGCCAGTTGATGCACCTTTATCACAGAGAAGGTGAATGTGGGGACAGGGACAGTTAATCCTAGACACCTGCTAAAAAAGACATAGTGCAGAATATTCTTTGATTTGGTTCTCAATTATAATTTCTAGTTAAAAAAAAAAATAATTCAATGGAAACCTCTTTCAAATTTGAGGACCGATGCCTCGCAAAACAATAGGCATTCTTTGTTTCATTTGCATGCACTTTAATAGAATGCACAAACTGGGCAATGAGTCAATAAATAATGGCAACTTCTGGCTTGGCGGGGTATAGTGTTTTAGCTCTGGTAGCTCTCCCCAGTGGTCAAATGTTAAAGCAATGGGACCTTAATTTTAGGAGTGGCATGTGTGGATTTGGGGCAACCCTAACAGGGTCAAGGACAAACCAGGGAAATCTTGAAACAAGGGTATGCTGCCAAGTCTCCTGTGCCTGTGAAGAGCTCCCACTTGCAGCATTCCAGGAATCGGGCCTCTAAATCCCTTCCCCTAAGACTCTGGGTCACACCTCAGGGGGAAGATGAGTCTTTCCTCCCAAACATTTGCTTTGCAACCAAGCGGCCTGAAATCTGCAGGCAAGGGAGCAGGGGTCTACTTCGGGAACTTCTTCTTCTAGCCTGACGGAATGATCTTAAATAATGAGTAAGGAGCCATGGACTGCAGCGCTCTTATTAAACCCCAGCATTATGCTGAGCTCTATATGTTACTAATAAAACTAACAAAAATAAGAACGGCACTTGGCCCTACTTCATTCGCCAACTGGGAAATGAAGTCATGAGCATGCTTTATAAGTGGCTGGCTAGTTTCCATCAGGTAGAATGCCAAATTTAAAAATAGGAAACCAAGCTTTGAAGTATATATCACAGAGGTTCTGCGATGAATTCCACATTTTACAAAACTGTATGGTCAGTCCGGTGCTGGTACTTGGAGGGGGCACTCGGTTTCTAGTTCCTTTTCCCTTGTAAGATGTTTGTAAATTCCAGATTACACACTATTCCGCTGGTTTTTACAACTGGGAAAGAAAGAAGCCCTCTTGTGGTCAGAAAGTGAACAGATAAAAAAATGCAAACTTTGACTTGGGCCAAGCTTCAGGGTTTAGTTTTTAACTAGATTAATGCTTTGAGCCTCAACTCCGGTTTCCACCAACCTTACCATTAGGAAACAGATAACATGAGTAAAAAGGCAATGTCTTGACATATAGTCAGAGAGAATAGGGTGCCTAAAAGGAAACAAATTCATTAGAAGTTGTAGCTTTAAGGAAAGCAGAAAACAACCGCATTGTATAGGCTTCATAACTGCCCCTCCCCGCCAAGACTTTGTTGTGGGTTGTAAAAATTAGATGTTGCATCATCATGTGATGAGCCCCATACAACTTGACTCACTGAGGCCATAAAACATACTTTGTGGATTTGGAAAGCAGTAAACTCCTGGAGCTGGAGCTCAGGGGGCTGAAGTCAGAATCGGTTTGCTTTGCATCAAACCAATCATTTCTCTCCTGGCGTTGATTTCTGCATGTAAGAAATGGATGTTTGGGACACTGGGCTTCTGAAAATCCAGTTCTTGGGTAGCTATCTGTTAGGGCCTGGCTTTGCCAAGCCAAGCAGCTCTTGCTTTACCTAAAGATCTTCTTTTCTATGTACTTTTTTTTTTTTTTTAAAGGAACAATTGTGTTGTTTCCTGTTTTGAGATACTACACTCAATAATAATAGCCAATATATTTTGAGCACTTACCATGTTCAAGGAACTGTTCTGAGTACTTTGTGAATTAACTTGTTTATCTTTCATAGTAATCCCATGAGCAGGTACTGTTATTGTTCCTACTCTACAGAAAGAGAAATTAAGTCACTTTCCCTAAACAGGGCAGAAATAAGAGTTGAACCCAAGCAGTCTGAACACTTATTATGCTATTCTGCCCCAATGAGTCTGGTCTCTTCTAACTTCTAAATAGCTCTTACATCTGTTCACTTCTCTCCATCCCATTGCCATTGCCCAGTTCATCATTTTCTCTCTTCCAGGCCTTTCTCTTGGTCCTCTACAATTTTTCTTCCATAGTGCAATTAGGAAAATTTTATAGAATACAACATATTTATGATTTCTTAAAAAAAACTCAACAGTGAAATAATTATGAATTCATAGGCAGTTGCAAAAAAAATTTAAAAATGAGCAGGGAGATCCCATGTGCTCCTCTCCTAGCCTCCCACCATGGTTCATCTCACCTAGCCGCAGTGCACTATCAAAGCCAGGAAACCGACTTTTGTACAATTTATAGAGCTTAATTCAGCATTCTCCAGCTTTACAAACATTCATCTGTGTTCTGTGTGAAGATCTATGCAATTTTATCACGCGTATATTTGTGTAACCAACATCATAGTCAGGATAGAGAATTGTGCCATTACTGCAGGACTTTCTGATGCCGTCTCTTTGTGGCCCACACAACTTCTTCATCAATCCCCACCCTGTGGTAATTACTAATCTGTTCTCCATCTCTGTCATTTTGTTATTTTGAATATGTTGTGTAAATGTAATCACACAATATATAATCTTTCAGGATGGGCTTTTTTTACTCAGTGTATTTCCCTTGAGACCTCTCCAGTTTTTTTGCATGTCTCAAGAGTTCCTGTTCAGCGCTGAGTTGTAGTCCATGGTGTGGCTATGCCACAGTTTGTGTAACCATTCGCCCACTGAAAAACATCTGAGTTATTTCTGGGTTTTGGCTATTCTGAATAGAGCTGCAGTGAACATTCTTGTACAGGTTTTTGCTAAATTACAAAATGCTTATGAAAGAAATAAAAGGAAAGCTAATAAGCCATTTTTAAGGAGAATCAACTCAATTTCTTCAGCTGAAAGTCACAATTGTTAATTTAATATTAGCATCCTTGAGGACTTTGTATGGGAGCCTCCTCTTAACAGAAATCTTCCTGGTCTCTGAGCTGAAATTCTTACTCTTTTATTATATGGCAATATAAAATATCATTTATTAGTGTGGTTTAAATCTTCATATATGGACCAACTGCATATAGCTTTCATCCTTACCATTGTCCTCAAACCTGAAGTTTAGTGTTAGGGTTCAGTGATTTTCTAAGAGCTACATGTGTCCTAGACCAACATGGTCCAGTAGGGTAGCTGCCAGGCACACGTGCCCATTGAGCCTGCAGCAGTCTTAATTGACATGTACTGTAAGTGTAAAATATACACCAAGTTGAAGTCTTATTATGAAAAAAAGAATGTATATCATTAAATTAATGTATATCATTAGTGTATTTTTATATTGATTACATGTTGAAATATTACTCTGGATATATTGGGTTAAGTAAAGTGTATTATTGAAATTAATTTTATTTCTTTTTCCTTTCTTTAATGTGACTAGTACAAAATTTAGAATTATGTACATAGCTCTTATGTTATGCCTGTTGGACAGTGAGGTCCCATGAGGAAATGAAGGTCAAAGGCAGCTAAGTAACTTGCCTGAAGTCTCACTGTAAACACTTTGTATAACGTCAGCTGTTAATGCTTGTTTTCATTCCAATGAGTACTAAGTGGGCTGTGTGTCAAGTCATGATTTTGTGTTAAGCTTGTGAGGGCGAGAAGAGACCCTCGTGTTTCTTCTGATGGAACAGCCAGTCACTGCCTGAACACTTTAAATGATGGGCTCCATTTCAGGGTGCCACTGATGGTGGCTCTTTGTGGCTCCTGGATGCCACTGCCAAATGGCAACCTTTTCTTCATATGTTCTACTTGGTACAGATATGTTTAAGCTGCCTTCTAGCTTCCACTTTTCTCGCTTAGCTTTCATTGGTCCTGAAAACAGATACTAGATGCTGTGCTTTTAAACCCATTTCATAATTTGTATTGTGTCCTAAATATGTCTGCTTAATAATGGCTATTATTTACTCAATGTTATGCTAAATGATGTACCATGAATTGTATCTTTTAGTCCTCACAAGAACCCAGATGAGGTACATACTAGCATGGTTCCATTTCATAGATGAGAAAACAGAGGCTTAGAGAGATTACATAAACTGCCCAAGATGTGGAGGCGGAAGGGTGTATAGCAGAATTCTAGTCTTTGCTATCTGGCTCTTCAGTTCCTGCTCCTGACCACTATCATACACCACTCTTTCAGCAGGTGAGATGCTCTGAATAGAGGAATGAATCCACTATTTACAGGGGAAATTTTATTCAAAGACCAGGTGCTCATATTCTAAAACAACCATATAAAACTCACAGGGTTGTAACCATATATAAACTGTACAGTAATCACACAACACACACCGCCTCAATGGTGTTAGAAAATTGTTCCTGGTGTCTGTGGACTTTCCTTTCCTTCAGTCCAGGAGGTATTCTCAGGGAAAGACGTCTGTGCCCATCATCTCCCAGAACAATGGTGAAGGGTTTTGCGGTGTGACTTCAAAGTCCTCAGGTTTCTTCAGTCTCATTGGTATACACGTGCTTACTGCTTAAGCGGTTTGTATTTATGGAAGACTGGTGTCCATGGTTCGCCTTTGGTGCAGTCTTGGAATATGCTGCTATATCCTGGGATGATCAAATATTAGAGCTGAAGGAGACTGATTTTCTAGTGTAGGGCTCAGCAAATGTTTTCCATAAAGCCCCAGATAGTAAATATTTTAGACTCTGCAGGCCATACAGTCTTTGTTACAACTGTTCAACTCTGCCAGTTCAACTCATTGTAGAGTGAAAGCCACCACACACAATATGTAAACAAATGGGCATGGGTGTGTCCCAGTCAAACATTATTTACAAAAACGCAAACATAATGACTTGCTCAATTTCAACTATGGGCTTGTTGCAGAATAAAATCTAGAAATCACACCTCCTGACCATCAACTTTTTTTCCTGCTGTATTACACTTATTCATATTTAATTTTCTTTCCCACTTTTTAAAAAAATTATGAAAATTTCAAAAATTCAAAATGAGATAAAATAATATAAAAATCAGCAGCATACCAAGCTTAAGAGAAAAATTGCAAATATGATTGATGCTTCCTGTGTCCCCTTCCCAATCTCCACCTGTCAGGGAACCATTACTGATTTTGATGTATGTCATGCCCTTGTTAGTTACATGTATATATCCCCTGAAACAACAACAACAACAAAAACCCAATAATTTTAGAGAAACATTTCTTCCAAATAGCAAAAGGTTAGAAACCTAAATTACCATTAGCAGAAAAATGTATAATTACATTTGGTAAATGATCCAATTTCCCCCCTAACGTTCCTGTTTAGAAAGGGATTGTTTGTTTAAAAGAGAATTGGTGAGAAGACATGCATAGAATACTTTTTTGAATCTAAAGCTACCTGTAAAGATGTGGGGCTGAACTTCCAGCTGAGTGACCTTGGGCGAATTAATGACCCTCTCTGTGCCTCAGTCGGTAACATTGGAAGAAACGCTAGCACCCACCTCTTGGTGCTGTAGAGCTGTAAAGGAGTTAAGGTATGTAGCATGCCAACAGCAGTGCCTAGTGGTAGCTCTTATTGCTTTTAACATCCATAATTTAAAGTTTGAACTTTTAAGCTTCCATATTGGGAATGAAGATAGTGATAAAATATACTGACTGAAACTGCAGATGTTACTTAGGTAAATGCACTTGCTAATTCTCTAGACTGAGAGCCAGTATAAATTTGAAAATGACCTTGATAAATCAGGAGTGTTGTTGAGAGAAATATTTGCTGAGGAACAGAAGTTCAGCAAGTTGGTATAAAAAGAGATAACATGAACTACAACCCACAGATAGACACCGAGGGGTCATACATTCTGGGCCGTACCTCAACAGTGGGGACCCGGAGCTCCAGCGGCTGGGTGACAATGCAGGCTTCACCACTCCGCCACAGGATCATCTCAGGCAAGTTCCCAAACCTCCCCAAGCCTGTGTCCTTTGCTGTATAATGTAGATAATGACAGACCTACCACTCGGGGTGGCTGTGAGCTGTTAACACAGGACAAAATTAGATGCCTCTATTACTGATGCTGTCGAGGAGATTATTGCAAGGTACAAGTTTAGTGGCAAAATGACCTGGGTGGAGCAGACTCCTCTTACTAAATGGACATTCCTCAGAAATGCAGTGGATCTGTGGGAAAAAGCCAGATGACACTGAGATGCCAGAAGTAAGACAGAAATGGTTTAGGAAACCCCTCTCCTTTTTGTGTCACCTTCCCGTGTGTTCCTCCTTGGTCCAAACTTTGCTAGAAAACATGTTTTTTGGCTTGTCTGTTAAAAAGTGATGTGAAGAAACCAGAGGCACAAAAGGATGTTATAAAGGGTGACAATTAGTTTTATGAGAAAAGGTTCAAACATGTGGGGCTGTTTGGTCCAAAGAAGAGCAGGCTGAGGGAGGCTTAATGACAATCTTTAGATAAATGAGAGGTTTTAATGTAGGGAATGCGGGCCAGTTTTTTCATCAGTTTTGTGAAGGACCAAATTAGTGGACATGGACTTAAATTAAAGAGAAGGGACTGCACATCCATAACAAGTTCTCAGAAGTCACTGCGACCAACTGTTGCAGGGAGCTGCCAAGAGAGAATGGGAGTGGGCATCCAGAGGTCTGGAGAAAAGCAACACGAGTATGTCATTAAGATGCCCTTTCTAAAACTCTCTCTCAGGCCAATGGGTCTGTTTTTCTTTGGATCTCATTCTAGGCAAAGAATGCAAAAGTCATGCAATTTTCTTATTTTTAGCTCAAACAAACTGGTATTTTCTTCTCACTGATATCTAGGATGTCTATCAAGCTCTTCTGTTCCTGAAGCCACTTTCTTCTGGCCTCTGTTCTCTGGCTCCATTGTGAGGCTGGACTTCCTGTGAGAGCGGCCCGTGGATGTTCATACCTAGTAGACTCCTCTTCTCTTTACCTCTGTCTGCCTTCCCAGGACTCATGCTCACATCTCCACTCAAAATTACTCGCCTCCTTCCTCCATTATCTAAATTCTCTAAGTTGCATGTGTTTGTCTCTATCATTTCTATTTCTAATATTTCTATTTCTAGGACTGGGAATCAGATGACTCAGTGATAGCGTCAGTGGTCATCTATTGTCACATTGCTTTATGCTTCGTAATCCAGAGGCTTTATTTCCTGGGAAGCATTGTTTTCTATCTGTGAAAATGTACACATTCGATCTTTTCATAAAAATAAAATTTCCACCTGCCCTGGCTGGTGTGGCTCAGTTGGTTGGAGTGTCATTCCATACTCTGAAAGTTCTCAGGTTCAATTCCCGATCAGGGTACATACCCAGGTTGTGGGTTCGATTCTGGTTTGGGATGTGTATGGAAGGCAACCAATAAATATTCCTCTCTCTCTAAAATCAATAAAAAAATAAGATTAAAGTTCATGCTAACATTATAATACTTATAAGAATAGAGTACATGGTATGGTAAGGTATTCACAAGGGTTTGGCAAATTACTGCCCCTGGGTCAAATCTGGTCCTCCTCTTGTTTTTGTATCTTCAGTGAGCTGTCACTTTTCTTAAATGTCTGAAAAAACCCTAAGTGGGAAGCAACACTTACTGTTGGTACCATGAGTTCTTTTGCTCCTTAAAGCCAGGAAACCACAAGATAAAAGTTGGACAAAAAGCATATTCAGAGGTCTAAGGAGGAAAGTCCTGCCTCATTTCTGACAAGAAATTAGCATGTCCAGAAGCAGAAATTCACACGCAGGAGCATTAGGCCATGCTCACAAGAGTGTTTATTGAATTTAATAAAGCACTTTCCCAGGATATACTTACTCTGTGTGTGTGTGTGTGTGTGTGCATTTGTGTGTGTGTCCATATTATAATGCAGGGTTTGTAAACATTTGATTTTTATAATATGGCTTAGAGAACTATACAATGGGCTAGGAGCCAAGACATGAAAAGATGTTGTTACACTCTCTTCTCTCATGCTACACATTAGTATATCCCACAACATTCTATTTCCAGGACAACAGTTCTATTGAGTTCAACAAACATTTCTTGAGCACCCATTGGGTGCCAGGCATGGTGCTAGGTGCTGAGGATGCAAAGGAGAGTAAAGCCTGGTCCCTGGCTTTAGGAGCTTGTAGTCAAAAGAACTCGTATCCTCTAAAACCTTGTATTCTGCTCTCAAGACTCTAGCCATGTGACCCAGCAATTCTACTCCCACGTGTATACTCCAAAGAATTGAAAACAGTACTGAAACAAATACCTGTACATTAGTGCTTATTGCAGTGTTATTCACAATACTGTAACAGTGGGGATTGTAACCCACCCCACTGTTCTTTTGACACTGTTTCTGTAAATGCTGACTCTGACTAATATGTAGCTGGTAGATAAATAGCATGGTTGTATAAGAATCCTAAGAACTAACTTTAGAAAATACAGACTCCGACCTTCAGTCATCCCAGTTCTGGGAGATTTGCTGACCTTCAACCATAGAACTAGGATGACATAGAATGAGGATGACGAAGACCAGGATGATGTAAACCAAACCATCACTTGACCAGAGTTTCTAGATCCTTACTGAAATGGACTGTGCTGGCCTGCATGTAGAGAACTTTTCAACCTCCTCCCCTTGATTTCTTTGTTCTGCTTTCCCTCCCTCCTTACAAAAACCTCTGCATGTACTGAGATATTGAGATGGGTTTTGGATAAGAGTTGCCCATCTTCTTGAGATGCTGGCATTTGAATAAACCTCTTTCCTTTTTAACCAGTACCTGTCTCATAAGTTTGGCTTTTGTGGTGGCAGGCAGTTGAACCTTGGTTCCAGTTTCAATACCAAAAGGTGGAAAAATTTTGCTCACCAACTATGAATAGTAAACAGAACATGGCATGTACATAGAATGTACTATTCTTCAACTATAGAAAGGAATGAAGTTCTGATACAAACTATAATATAGATGAACCTCAAAATTATTATGCTAAGTGAAAGGAAAATGGCACAAGAATTCATATATTACATGAAATACCCAGAAAGAGGTGGATTCATAGAGACAGAAAGCAGATTGGTGGTTGTCAGGGGCTGGGGGAGGAGAATGGAGGATGACTGCTTAATGGGTATAGTTTTCTTTGGGGCTGATGAAAATACTTTGGAACTAGATAGAGGTTATGGTTGCACAACATTGTGAATATGCAAAATGTCACTGACTTGTACACTTTAAAATGGTTAATTTTTTGTTGTATGCCGTCTTCCTGAATTTCTTCTTTTGACTTCTAGGGCATCTACTCTCTTCACATTCCTCCCTACTCGGCCCCCATTGCCAGCTTCATCTTTTTTTCTTTAACTTGTCAGATTGGAGGCACTTAGAGCCTCAACTTTGAACCTCTTTTCTTCTCTACTTGTCTCACTCTCTTGGTGAAGTCATTTAGTTTCATGACCTTCAGCCCCATCTTTAAACTGATGACTCCCAAATTTAAACTTTCTGCCTGTACTGCTCTTCTCTACCCCAGACTCACATATTCAAGGGCCTACTTGACATCTCCATGTGAATGTCTAATGGATATCTCAAACATAAGGAACTTAAACCTGAATTTCTAGCCTTCCTTAAAAACTGCTTTGTCCACAGTCCTT